ATAGCAGATTGTTTTCTTGTGGTTTTGTGTGAGGAGTTTCTGTTGAGCAGGGCTGTGGTCTGTGTGATGGTTCCTCCTGTTGTTAAGCACTTCTCCCTAGTGCTGTCTTTGGTCTCCATCCAGCTGTTTTTCCTCTTTCTAAAAAGATTTATTTATTCATTTTATGTGAATGTTTGTGTACCTACATGTATGTGTGTGAATTACATGCTTACAGGTGCCCATGGAGGCCAGAAGAGGGTGTTGGAGCCCTTGGAGCTGGAGTTACAGGTGGCTATGATCTGCCATGTGGGTGCTGGGAACTGAACCCGAGTCAGTAAGTGTTCTTAACCACTGAGCCATCTCCAGCCCTACCATCTAGTTTTTGTGTCAGTTTAGCAGCCCTTCAAATAATGTAAATTTGAATCCTGAACTGCTAGCTTTGGTATTAGCAGGTACAAGCTGTGATTTTAAATTCTCAAGGAACATACTGCTTTTGCCATGGCCTACAGCCCAGCTTGAGAGCGACAAGCTTTTGTCACAGGTGGCAGCCATGCAACTGTACCACTTGGATCTCAGCTGAAGAACTTGCTATTCTCCTGAACCAGTGTAACCTACTCTAAATACTCACCCTTCTGTTGAATGTAGCTCTCTCCACTCAACAGAGAAGCTTCTTTTTACCACAGATGGAGGCTATTACAAAGTTCCACAACTGGCCGAACTGTGGAGGATAAGTGACTGGGGTGCCTTGCTATAATTGAAACATCTACAAGGGGACCCATACTCCTAAGCTTGGGAAACATAGAAGAGGGGCTGAGAAGATTGTAAGAGCCGGAGGCCCAGGACACCTGTTGCTAGTGTCTTCTAGACATGATAGGGAAGCTGCACCCATGCAGTCTCAACAGTCTGGTTGTCTAAAGAAGACCTGCACAGTGATACCACCAATTGGCATGCCGGTGTGGATATGAGAAATTTCAGGAGGTCCTACCTTTAGATGAAGAGTTGCAGGTGATCAGTGGCTACTAAAGGAGGGAGAATCAGTTTATTCCAGGGATGAGCTTCCTGATAGGTTATTCAGTCTCAAGTGGTCAGCCGTAAACATACATAGACACATGCACCACTAAATGGACTCAGTACATATATTTTTTATATGTGTAACTATTAAGGAGGAGGCCACAGTATTGAGAGGGAGTTGGGTTATGTAAATACAGTGCTCCTGGATGAAATTGTCCCCCCACCCCCAAAAAAGAAAAAGCGAAATTGCCGTTGATCTGCAGGAGTGACTGCAGCTCCACCTGTGAACCCGTTGGCAGATGGCGTGGTTTTCATGTTCTTCTTGGCTGGAACAGCCAAGGACTAAGTTTAGGGCCTGGTCATTTCTGCCCAGCACACAGTCCTTCAGTGGGTGGCACTTGCTCCAAAGTCTTGCTCCCTTGCCTTGCCTTTCATGGGTGTTTGAGTGTTGTGGCCTGAGACTTTCTCCAAAATCCTGCTTCCTCTTTTGGTCTTCCACAGGCATTATGCCCTACAAACAGTCTCGGGATTTGTTTCTCAGAGGACCCACTTTCATGTGTATATGGAGTGTTTCTGAACCTTGCATTTGCTGACAAGGACTTCAAGGGATTTTTGTGGAGTATGGTTTTGCCATGGCCTACAGCCATGCCCTTCTCAAGACCCAACCCAGACAGGTGCAACTTCTGTGCTTATAACCTGGGTGTGCTGTTTTCTCTTCATCTGGGCATATAGGTTTCCCTCTGTTTTAGTTTCAATTTGGAAAGCATCCATGTTTATTAAACCTTACACAGAATTTCACAGTGCTCATAAGTTATATGTTTGGGTCATACAATTCACAGTATTTGCAGTAAATATTTTTTCAAATTTAGTTTTTTGAGATGGTCTCACCCTGCAGCCCACACTGGCTTGGAGCATACTGCATATCCTAGGCTGGACTTGAAGTCATCCTCCTGCCTGTCAGTGCTGGGATTACAGACATGAGCTACCACACAGAAATTATTTGAGTACATATTAATGTTTAAATGGTTCTTTTAATATTTTAAAATATATGTAGGGGCTGGAGAGATGGTTCAGCAGTTAAGAGCAGTGACTGCTCTTGCAGAGGACCCAGTTCGGTTCCCAGCACCCACATGTATTAGTTACCTTTTCTGTTGCTGTGATAAAACACCCATTACTAAGGGAACTTATAGAAGAGTTTATTTAGCTTATGGTTCCAAAAGGGCAAGCGTTCATCATGGCGGAGAGGTGTGGTGGCAGAACAGAAAGCTGAGTGCTCAGATCCACAAGCAGGCACAGAGCAGCTGGAAATCCAGCAAGGCTTAATTAAGCACTGGCAAAGTCCTCCCCCAGTGACGTGCTTCCTCCAGTGATGCCACACCTGCCCCAGAGTGCCACCAACTGGGACAAATAACTTGGAGCCTATGGGGGACATTCTCATTCAAACCACCACAGCAGCTAACAGCTGTCTGTAATCCCAGTTCCAGGTGCTCTGACGCTCTCATCTGACCTCCACAGGCATTGTACAACATGGGTGCATTACATACATACAGGCGATACACTCATACACATAAAAATAATAAAAAATATTAAAAAATAAATGCACATAGTAGAATAATTTGGGTTAAAACAAACTTGACAGTTACACCAAAATCAGGAACTCTTGTTTCATAGCTGTCAAGGAGTAAAGGCCTCCTTCTGATTTGTAAGCCGTTGTCTCATTTTTAAATGGACAGCTTTCATCCACAAGGTAGGAGAGGGTCAGATAAGGTGACAGATGGAGTCTGCAGGGGGCTGGAAGAGCAGCAGGACTAGTGTCAGTTCCACTTGCAGAGATCAGGGGAGGCTGGGTGACTGTGAGCCAAGGCCCGAGGTGGGAGGTAGGCAGGAGTGTGCCAGGTGGACTGGGGGCAAGGTGAGTCGTGTCTGCAGTGGGGGTGCTGCTGTGCTCAGGTGCCAGTGGCTTAGGTGAGGTGAGATACAAATGGAGCAAGGCTGCTCCCCCTCTCCTTCCCTGTGAGGGATCAGAAATCCTGTGTTGAGGTTTGGATTTTTTTTTTGCTCTTTTTGAGACAGGGTCTCCCTGTAGCCTCAGCTGGCCTGGAACTCGCTCAGTAGACCAGGCTGGCCTCAATCTCACAGTAATCCACCTGCCTCTTCCTCCTGAGTGCTGGGATTAAAGGTGTGTGCCACCACGCCTGGCTGAGGTTTGGCTTTTTAAGTTTTTTATTTCTATTTTATGTGTATGAGTGTATTGCCTGCATGTGTGTGAGTGCACCCGTGTTGTGCAATGCCGCAGAGGTCAGAAGAGGCTTCGGATTCTCCGGGAACTGGAGTTAAGGACTGTTTGTAGCCATCATGTGGGTGCTGGGAATCAAACCCGGCAAGAACACTTAACCACTGAGCCATCTCTCCAGCCCCCCCCCTTTTTTTAGAGGTTTGGATTTCTGAAAAATATTTTTATGCATACGAGTGTTCTGCCTGTATTGTATCTAAATGTACCTGTGTCATGCAGTGCTCATGGAAACTAGAATAGGGCGTCAGATCCCACAGTTGTTACCCGCCATGTGAGTGCTGAACTGAACCTGGGTCCTCTGTAAAAGCAGCCAGTGCTTATAACTGCTGAGCTAGTTTTTTAACTCGAGGTTTGGGTTTTAACCAGAAGATAACGGGGAGGCAATAATGACCAGATTTACCAGGTATAGATCACCCTGGAGTAGTGCAAAGGGTAGACAGGCCCCAGTGGGTATTGGCAGTCACACTTTTGAGGCCCAGAAGACCTTCAGTGGTAAGAATGACAATGAAAATAAAAGTTATAGTTACAAGTGGACAGGACAATCTCAAGTGTTTTGTTTGGTCAACCAGGTCTTGCTTGGAACTATGTGAATTAGTTTGGCTTTGAACTTGTGATTTTCCTGCCTTTACCTCCTGACTGCCAGGATTACAGCCTGCTCCATGACACCCAGCTCAGAATTCTTGATGTTGACATGGTTAAACTGTAGCTTTAGCCATCTTTTCTTCTGTCATCTGGCAAGTGGCACCTCAGTCCAGGATGGAGGAATCTTTTATCAGGGGACCAAGTGCTGGCTTGATAGATTCTTGTATGTAAGTATGGGGGTATATCTAAGAGTGAAGGGACTGGGGTAGAGCAAGGGTACAGTGAACTGGGCAGACTCCTTGCAGGTTTCCAAGTGTTGGAGACATCTGTCGGGGAGCCAGATGGGAAACACAGCGGAAGGGTCAAGTTGGTAAGGAGTGAGGCAAGGTCATGGCTTTCCACCACAGGCTTGGTGGAACCTACCATCCCTTCTGTGTCTCATTCCCTCTGTGGAAAAATAACATGAAATAAATGAAAAAAAAAATTCCTTTAAAAAAATGACCAAGCCAGGTGTGGTAGCACACGACTTTAGTCCCAGCACTTAGGAGGCAGAGGCAGGTGGATCTCTATGAGTTCCAGGCCAGCTGGGGCTACAGGGAGACCCTGTCTCAAAAAGCCCCCCCCCCAAAGCAAAAAAAGTTTACGACCAAGACCAGACCAAGAATGTGAGGTGAAACAGTGAGGACTGACTGCTAGGTGGGTACACAGGTGCTGGTCTGGCTTCACTGCTGCTGGAGAGACTGCACCAAGACCAGGGTACCACAGGCATTGCTACCAGGCGAGAAGGGAATCGGAGGCCTTTGGTGAACATCCATTTTCCTGATACTCTATGGTTTTCCTTTTTTGGTCTTTTTGAGATAGGGTCTCCCTGTAGTCCCAGCTGTTCTGGAACTATGTAAATCAGGCTGGCCTTGAACTCAAGAGGTTTGCCTGCCTCTGCCTCCCGAGTGCTAGGACTAAAGGCGTGTGCCAACACGCTGGGCTCCTTGGTTTTCTCCAAGAATTTCCTTCCTATGCTCCTGAATATTATCTCAAATAAACTGTGGGTATGATTTGATGTGTTTGAATCCCTCTAAAAGTATGATTATCTGTATGGAACCAAATTTACCTGTGATCATCCATCCTTAGTTCTCAAGGGCAGTGGCCTCTTTGGATCCAATGTGAACAAGTGCTAGAGGGGGCTGATGAGCTGACATGTCCTCCTGGAGGATGTGTTTAGAAGCATCAGGAAAAATAACAGGTCTAAGAATGGATGGAATTCATCAAACTGCCTTGGTGCTGGTTAGGTTTTATTTTAACAGGAAGTTTCCTGTTCATTTGTTTTTCAAAATATCAGTTATATCAATATTAGAAGTGTAAACAGGTACAAAATATACAGTACATAGAAACAATTTTCTTAACTAGTCTATTCCTAATAAAAGTATGCAGGAGAGAGCTGAATGGGCACCATGGTCTCTGCCCTCTTTTGGGAGCCATTAACCATTTGGGCAAGAGGACCAGTGGCTGCTTAACATGGGAGTGGATGTGTGTGGGGTGGGGAAAGCATGGTAATGGACAGAAACCTCAGCCTATTTCTAATCTTACTGTAAAGATATTCCAGGTAGGCCTGAGAGAACCACTTACCCATTACCTGGCATTGCAGACTACCTCCTGAGTGCCCCAGTCATGAGTGAGCACACACTGGGAAGGCTGTTTAGCTGGCGCTGCTGAGACAGTTCCTCTGAGTCTTGGTGATCTGATCCATGGGTGTGGGGCAAATATTTTAAAGATGGCAAATCCCCAAACCTTTTCCCCTCTAAATCGCTGTTCCAGGAGCTGGGTCTCAGCTGTAGTTCTTCCCAGCTCTTGGTACACACTGCTCTAGATGAGAGGCTGTATCCCCTTTGAGCCCTTTATTTCCTCATCTCCAGAAAGAACCACCTGTCCTGCTGCTTCTTAGTCATGGTAACGGTTGAATCAGAAGCAAGGTGGAACCATTTTGAAAATGCACACACTACAGGATGGGCAGTCAACAAAAGCATCTAGGGGAGAAAGGTGTAGCCTAAGACGGTAGCCCTGGCTCTGTGTGACCACATGTGCAAGTGTTCAACACCTGACTTTGGCTTCTTCACCTCCATATCTAACACTACTAACAGTGCCACATGACTCTTCTTAGCCAGGCCCAGGAATCACATCCCACAGTGGAAGGTACCACATGGCATCAAATGGAGAAAAGTCAAGCCAGGGCTTTGGGGCCTTCTCAGGAGGAAAGCTGGCAGCTGTAAGAGCTGCTCCTAGCAGGGTCCTTACTGCTGAATACAGGCTGGTGATCTAGGCCCTGGGGCCCTCACCACCCAAGGCTGGAGGTCCAGATCAGTTGGCTAGACAAAACAGGGACTCAACTGCTACAAGACTGTGTGGTCCAAGGACCCACACCTATGAGTCAGTAGGGTCAGGTGAGTCCAGAGCCTCCTTACCCCAGTCACCTTTCTAAAGACTTGTTAGACAAGGTGGACACACACCCCCGAAAACAAAATTATACCCCACACGTCAACTGGTGCTGCTACCATTTTCCAGCTTTTTCCTCAAGAATGAAAAATAAAAAATGGGTTTGTAATTAAATTACATAAGATTCCAAGGTGTTCAGTTTCACAATCAGAATCCTACTTTGTTTAGAGGTGGTTTCTCTTTTTCCAGTGATCAGTTCAGCAACATGGAAATCTGATTCTCTGCCGAGTCTCCCCTTCCTGTCTCTAGGCTTTCAGTCACTCTGCTGTGTGCACACGGGCTTTGTACATAGGTGGCCTGCAGGTCGGGTAGGGGCCCTCACAGATCCCCACCATCAGTGGGTCCTAGGACACCGAGGCCACAAGTCCAGTCTGTCACGAGGTCTGTGGAGGCCAAGGGTCCTTTGGCTGCCGGGCTCTTGAAGGGATCTGGAGGCACAGGCAGTGGTGGGAGTGGCGGCCCATGGGCAGGTGCCTTGGCCACCGCAGGGTGGTTGCGCTGGTGCTTGCGGAGGTGGTCCTTGCGGATGAAACTCTTGCCGCACACGGTGCACGTGAAGGGCCGCACGCCCGTGTGCGTTCGGTAGTGGTCGATGAGCTTGGAGCGCTCAGTGAAGCGCTTCTCGCACTCGGTGCAGGGGAATGGCCGTTCACCAGTGTGCAGCATGCGGTGGCGGATGAGGTGCGCTGGGCGCGTGAAGCAGCGGCCACACTCCCCGCACCGCAGGGCATTGCTGTCCCGCGCGTTGCCGCCACTCCCCCCACCACCACTGCCGCTGCCAGAGGAGGAGGCCGCTGCGGAGCCCGAGCCCGCACTGTCGGGCACTGTGCAGCTGCGCTGGTGCGCGCTCAGGCTCACCTGTAGCTGGAAGCTCTTCCCGCACGTGGCGCAGGTGAAGGGCCGGCCTCCGGGGGGCGCTGCCGGGTGCTTCTTCAGCCCTGGCTTGTGGCCGAAGCCTTTGGTCCGCCCAGGGTATTTGCAGGGATCGTTGAAGGGTCTTGCGGCTTGGCTGGGGTCCAGGATGGCCTCTCCACCATCAGCGGAAAAGGGGAGCCCTTCGGTCATGGTCCTTGGGTTCAGGCCCACTGGAGGCTTACACCGGAAATTCCAGCCCCACCTGACCCCACCGAAGAGCCAATCCCCGGCAGTGGTCTCCTCCTGTGCTATGGCAGGACTGAGCTCACCAATGTCCCGCTCTGGCCTGGTGGGCTCTCGCAGCCCCAGCACCGGGTCCTGGCTAGGGAAGGAACTGCCTTGGCTTTCCCAGGCTCCCTCCTGGACAGGACTAGGAAAGAACCGTGCAGCCTGGCCTGGTGCAAACATTGTGCCATGCGCCTCCAGGTCGGTGGGGTGCACAGGCGTGGCCACCACCTCCTCTTCCTGGACTTCTGTTTTGATCACGATTTTTACATCTGCTGAGAGAGAAAGGTAAAGATCATTCGGGTCCTCATCTCTGAAGGAACTGATGCCGGGCATCTGGATCTGCAGCAGCTGCTCAGCCCCATGGACCACCACTGGGTCTTCCAACACCAAACCTCCGTGTCACGGCCTAGGAGAGCATTGTGTCTGGGTGTGAGGCAACCTCAAAGCCTCAGTGTCTTGGGCCTTGCTGACAGGAAGAGCAACCCTCAGATTTGGCCCCCCGTTTCTGTTTCCACTTTGCTATTAGTAAATTGTGAATTCATCCCAAGAATCAAGTATGGTGGCCATGTACCAACACTTGGCCTCTGAGGCCTCTGGGACTGTGCCATACCTCTGCTCTGTAACAACTCTATGTCAGGACATTTTTTAACCCACGGCTCCACTGAATGCCTAATTTCCCAGGCTATAGGAAGATAAACCTGGATAACACATCTAAAGGCATCTCAGAATACATCTGGCATGCAGTAAGCATGCAGGAAATGTAGCCACTGGCCTAAGGATGTAAATACTAGTGAATGAGTTGTGTTTCATTTTATTTAAATGTACCCAAGTTCCGTGCCAGGGCTTTACATCAGGGTTCTAGTCTCAGCATTTTGGGAGAAAGGGGTAGTGCCCAAAGAGGAGAGCAATTTTTATTAAGGTTATAGATAACTGGCCTTCAAAACAAGAGAAAGCGAGTACACAAATATGGTAGTTCTTTTCAACTCTGGCCTTTGTCTTTGGCAGTTCAAATGTCTAAGTGGTTTCAGTTCAGTTTGTTTACATCCATGCTACATGAGCCATAGATTGCCTGAGTCTGGGGAGAGGGATGAACCTTCAAGAAATCAGTTATCTGAATGAAAAGGAGCAGTCTGAAAGAAACACAGGCATCCACAAAAATGGCTGTTCAAACTAGAATTTTGAAGGTGATGGAGAACAGAAGGTACAATGAATCCTAGGATCGTAGACTTCTAAACACTTGCTGGCTCAAAGTTGGGGCAGTTCACCAGTAAGAACAGGGCTCCCAGGCTGGGGATTCACCCATTTACTCTCCTGCCACCCCCGGTACCTTCTGTGGAGGCTGCTGTGTTGAGCTTCAATGTCCCGTCTGAGCATGCTGAAGAGGGGTGGTGGGGAGGGAGATCTGCTTGCCAGGAAGTGGGTGGGATGGTGGTTGAAAAGTTGGAATGGACACCTGCAAGGAAGAGAGAACACAGCCTGTGGGTTAGGGAAGGACTTGGACAAAGGGAGAGTGGTGACAAGAAAGCTGTGGGAGGGGAGGGCAGCTAAACCCTGAAGGCCCCCCAGGGCTGTTCTGAATGACCACAATGCCTTAACCTATCTGAAGTCAGTGTCTTTTGCTCCATTCTCCAGAGCACTGGAAAGCTCAGGTATTACCAACTCATTCACCTTTTTCCAACAAGTGGTAGATGGTGATGTCCCTGCCCAAGGCAGGGGTCCACACAGTGTCTTCTGTGAGCCCTTGCCTCAAGGTGGAAAAATTTTCTAAACTAGTCATCCAGCTTTTCTGAGACCTCACAGTTGCCTATATGTTCTTAGGCACCTTCCCAACTCCTACCCTCAGCCCTTAAAACTAATTCCAGTGTCTAACCCCGTCTTAATTACTCACCAGAGTTAGCATCCGTGGACATGTCTCCTGCCCCAGAGTCCAGCTGGCTGAGACCCCAGGGCTCTTCCCCGATATCTGGCTGCCCAGCTGCCCAGGCCTCCACACCCAGAGCTTGCTGCTCCTGCAGCTGGAGCTCCCCCTCCTGCTTGATCTGCATCAGAAGGTCAGGGGCAGGAACTGGGGCTCCAGAGCCTAGGAAAGAGAGAGTATATGAGCCCTTAGCCCTGAGCTGGATGCGTACCCAATCGAGGGAACATAGGTGGGAAGAGAAGGCAACAGATCAGTATGGTCAGGCAGTGAGTGCCCGAGTGGTTAGGTGGCCAGAGGGAAGAATACCTGAGCTGCCCTATCTGAGCTGCTTTCACTTTTAATGCAAAAATGCCAGAAAAAAATTGAACTCCCAGTCCTACCTCATGCCCCCATTCACATGTATTTATATAAGCTTAAAAGATAGATTCCATATTTAACAAAACAATTAGGAAAGTGAGGGCCTGGGGATATAATACAGTTGGTACAGTGCCTACCTACTATATAGAAGACCTGGATCCAGTCCCTAGCAGCACATAAATGAGGCTTATGTGTGGTGGCACATCCCTATAATCCCAGCATTTAGGAGATAAGAGTCAGGAGGATCAGAAGTTCAAGGTCATCCTCAGCTACATAGAGATCAAAGCCAGCCTGGGATACATGAAACTCTGTCTCATGAAAAAGAGGCAGAGTGGAAGGCAAATGACCTAGAGAGCTCTTGACATACTAATAGCAAAGCCACTGTAGTCATCTTAGTAGATGACTTCTGTTTCTGGTAGATGGTTGGGTAGATGTATAAAGGACCAGAGAATCACCCCTCAGTATGGGACACGCAAAAATGCTGGGAAAAATACCAAAAAAAAAAAAAAACTATTATTTTTATGTGTATGCATGTATTGCCTGCATGTAGGTGAGTGCACCCATGTCTTGCAATGCCCATGGAGGACAGAAGAGGCTGTCGGATCCCCTGGAACTGGAGTTACAAACAGTTGTTAGCTGCCATGTGGGTGCTGGGATGCGAACCCGGCCGGGTCTTCTGCAAGAACAGCCAGTGTTCTTAACTGCTGAGCCATCTCTCCAGCCCCAGAAATACAAAAATTTTAAGCATGGATGACCTATAAATATAGTATGGTAAATGGGCCAGGAGCTGAGGGAAAGTCTACTTTCTGAAGTTAAGTTGGAGGACATCTGAGTTGCTGCTGCCTGGGTTTGAGGGAGTGTATGAAAGACTTAAGGTTAGAGCTAGAGATCCCATCCCATAAACCCAGGACCACAGAGGCCAACATTTCCTGTGGACTAAACTTATAAAACCTGACAGACTGGAAACTGCTGGCCCAGGCCCTGGCTCAAGATTGAGGGGGAAGAGGAACGAATGACCCCTGGCAGCTGACACCCACAGCCTACTATGCAAGGGTGCTTTCAGTCAGGTCTCTCAGTAGCAGTGTGGACCAAAGCATAGGATGAGCTGGCCTTGAGTCTACATTGGCACCAGGCAGCCAGCAGAGGTGCACACATTCTCAGAGCATCACATTCCAAACACAGTTTTTGAATAATGAACGAACTCAGGCTAACAAATCACCAAGCCAGTAGGAAAACCAGTCATCTCCAGCAAAGTCAAGAGAAATCAAGAACTACAGAGTACTATTCAGACTCTAGACATTGGAATTACATTTCCAAATAAAAGAATAGAGAGAATGGGGTTAAGGTAATGTTCAAAGAGAGACCACTGTTCATTCCACTCAAGATTTTAGGGTGGGGAAACAACAGGGATTAAAGCAGGAGAAAGAAACGAGAAAACCACATCCAGGCTGGAGATGGAGCTCAGAGGTACAGCACCTGCTTAGTATGAGCAAGGCCCTGGTTTGATCCCTAGCACTAGGAGGAGGCCCCCACATCTAGTTACACTGAGGTGAAACTGCAGATCCTCAAAGATCCCCACAAAAGTGAGAAAACAGGCAGGCTGCTCATGAGGAGGACAATTTCCTGACAGATGACTTTTCTCCAAGAACAGCCAAGTTAGAGAAGAAAAGGAGAAATTATCTTCATAGGCAAGAGAAAGCAACAAACTAGAATTCTGTCTTTCAACTACAGAAATCAAAGACATTTTCAGACATAAATAACTTCACGATTACACATAGCTGAGAGTGTATTGCCACTAGACTCAGAGTAACTTCTAAAGGAAGGAAAAAAAAAAAAACCTAAAGTCTTCTTTAGGAGAATGAAAACTGTAACTTGCAAACTAATGCAAAAAAGGCAGGAGTAAAGACTGGCACTCTAGGGGATATGTAGAAGAGGGTCAGCGGTACCATGGCCAGGGCAATGGTTTGGACCAGCACTACCTCACAAGATCACTCATCTTGTTAGAAGTGTTCCAGTAGCCAAACCAGAGAAGGGTGAAGAAACAGGTAAAATAAATTCCAACTTTATTATATTTAACCCAATATCACAGTGTGATTTCATCATATAATCAATATAAAGTAACTTAGTTTTTTATACATGCATCTTTCACACTTTTTTGGTACTTTTCACAATGTGATCTGTATTGTGTTCTTATGGTACCTGTCAAGTGCTCAACAACTACATGTAAAAGGTAAAGATGAGGCTAGGGAGATGGTTCAGTGGTTAAATGCTTGCCATGGAGGACCAGAGTTGGGATCTCCAGGAACCCATATAAATGCCAGGTGGGTGTGGAGACTTGGCTGTAATTCCAGCCTTGGAAGGTGGAGATGAGGTGCTCAGAGCATGCTGGCTAGCAAAATTAGTCATATCAGCAAGCTCCAGGTTTGATTAAGAGACGATGCCTCACTGAATAAGGTGGAAGACTGACTGATGGAGGATGATTCACTACATCAATCTTGGGCTTCCATATGCATGCACTCACACATGCAAAAACATGCATGCATACATGCATAACACATTAAAAATGGAAAAAAGCTAAAGATCATTGTACTGACAACTAACAAAAAGCAATCAATGTACTTTTTGCAAGATACATTATACTAAATCAGAATTAACAGAAGAAAATGATATAACTATCCAGAAAAAAATTCATTTTAAATATAAAAATATTTGTAGAAATAGGGATTACTACATCACAATTTAAAAATTTTTATTTTATGTATGAGTGGCTTGCCTGTGCATTTGGAAGTGCACCTATGTTGTGCAATGTCCTTGGAAGTCAGAAGAGGATTTTGTATTCCTTGGAACTGGAGTTATGGATGCTTGTGAACTGAACCCGGGTCCTCTGCAAAAGCAGTCAGTGCTTTTAACCACTGAGCCATCTCTCCAGCGTCTATATCACAAATTGATCCAGAAGATAAATTCTAAATTTAAAAAAATTTTATTTATATTTTTATTTTATGTGTATGTGTGTATTGCCTGCATGTAGGTAAGTGCACCCATGTCATGCAATGCCTGTGGAGAACAGAAAAGACTGTCATTCCCTGGAACTGGAGTTATGGACAGTTGTTAGCTGCCATGTGGGTGCTGGGATTTGAAGCTGGGTCTACTGTAAGAACAGTCAGTGTTCTTAACAGCTGAGCCATCTCTCCAGCCCAATTCTAAATTTTAAAAATATATTTTATTTATTATTATTTTACATGTATGAGTGTATTGCCTGCATGTATGTGAGTACACCCGCGTTGTGCAATTCCACAGAGGTCAGAAGAGGGCTTTGGATTCCCCTGGAACTGGAGTTAAGGATGGTTCGTAGCCGCCATGTGGCTGCTGGGAACTGAACCCAGGTCTTCTCCAAGAGCAGTCAGTGCTCTTAACCACTGAGCCATCTCTCCAGCTCCAATAATTCTAAAATTTAAATAAAATAAAATAGCCTCAAAAGAATAAAGCAGACTGAAAATTCTAAGGGGGAAGGGAAAGATCCACCCATGCTGTGGGGGAGTTTTGACACTTATCTTTTGGATGAATCTTATCAATAAAGGTCACAGGGAAATGTAGCAGCACTATTAACAAGCCTGACCAAATCGACCCGAATAGAAACCAGACACAAGGAGCTACCTGCTACTCAAGCCACACAGCACATGAGGGTTCTAGGCTATAAAGCAAATATCGGACTGGAGAGTTGGCTCAGTGATTAAGAGCACTGACTGCTCTTGCAGAGGACCCAAGTTGGAGTCCCAGCACCCACACAGCAGCTAACAACCATCTGTAACTCCAGTTCCAGGGGAATCTGATGCCCTCTTCTGACCTCCAATGGGCATTGCATGACACAGGTGCACTTATATACATGCAGGCATGGTTTCTAGGCAGAAATATCAACAAATGATAGACAATTGCTTTTAGAATACACTATTAAGAATGTCTTCAGATGGATCTTACCTGAGAAAACAAATGATGAAAGCCAGTGAACTAAGGTATTTATTAGTGATAATTCAGAGTACTGTAGTTTTTATCTGTAGACAAGGGAGCTTTCCACAATGCCCCTAATATCAGAAGTTAACCTGGGCTATGGAGCCTGTACTGAGCAGAGCAGCAAGGGCACCTGGTTCCAGGCACTATGCTGGTCCAACTCTTTTTTTACATTTTATTATTTTTATTTTATGTGTATGAGTATATTGTCTGCATGTGTGTAAAGTGTACCACGTTGTGCAATGCCCAAGGAGGTCAGAAGAGGGTCTCAGATCCCCTGGAACAATTGTTAGCCACCATGTGGGTACTGGGAATCGAACCCAGGTCCTCTACAAGAGCAGCCTGTGCTCTTAACTGCTGAGCCATCTCTCTAGACCTATGCTCCTCCAAGTTTTGCTCCTCATTTCTGCAGTTGGGTAGGTGACTTCACACTACCGGAGGCTGGCTGTGTGAAGGGTAGAGGATGAAACAGCACCTCCATAGAGCTACTGCTGCAGGGGAGCGGTATGTCCTACCCCCAACTCCCATAAATCAGCAACAAACAGAAATTGAGCCAGGAGCAGTGATGCACACCTTTCATCCCAGTCCTTGAGAGGCAGAAACAGGTGGATCTCTGAAAGTTCCAGGCCAAAAAAGAAAAAGAATTATAACCCCCCAAAAGTGTACCACCTTCCTGGGATAAAATTATGAGGTTTCACTGAGACATTATAGGTAAAACAAAGCAATTGAAGATGTCAAGAATAACATGACTCCAAAAAGCCAGTGTCAATTTTCTGCAACTTCAACCAAAACCCCAATTG